AATATAGAAATGAAAATTTTTAATAATAAGGGATATTTGAATTATGTCCTTACAAATAATTTAGGGACCTATCTTTAACTACACCATAATATCTTATGATATTTATTGTAATATATGGATAATCTTACTAATGTTGATATATTTATAGAATAAAATTTTTTTAAAATAATATATTTTATATTTTTTATATATAAGTTACTTTTCTTCAAATAATAAATAATAATTCTTATACTTTTGACTTTTAGAATTCTAAAACAACTAATTAATATAACATTACAATAATAAGAATTATCCAATAAAAATAGTCTAATTAGCAAATAAAAAATCAATAATATGCTTATTAATTTATTCTTTATAATACAAAGTCAACCAAAAAGCTCTATCATATGGTGCTACTATACAGGCAAATAGCTTAGTATTATAGAAGAAAGCATAATTTAATCTGCTACAAATTAATATAGCATAAATGTGTTATATATACATAAAAAGATAGTTGTTAATTTTCTAATTAAGTTAGAATGATACCAATATCATAACAATATCAAAAATATTAAACATATAAAATAATTTATTTGCAGAAAATTAAGTATTTTAAGCAATATGATAATCTAAAATATAGTAAAAGCAATTTATATTAACAAATTCATATCTAAAGTACTGTATTTCAGTAAACTCATTAAACTGAAAATTTGAAACTGAAAATTAAAATAATATGGTTTAAAATCCAAAGAAACTGTCTAAAAAAATTTTTTTTTTATATAAACCTCTTACAATTAGGGATGGTCAGTCTGGTCTGGTCTGATTCGGTCCTGAAAAAACTGATTTATTAGTCAAGATCGGATCAGACTGGTTTATTAAACCAATTTATAAACCGGTTTATCAAATATGGTCCACTTATTAAGAATACAAAATTATTTATTATGACAAATTACTTGATTTGAATATCTATTGATTTACATTGTTTTTTTTGATTTTTACTTTATATTTAACAAATATCATTATGAATTCAGCTTTTTATATATAATATTGCCCTTGCTGTTTTTGAATGTAATCGATTTCTCATAGCTGTTAAAGTATGTCCTGCTATGAAAAAAGCCTGCTTAAATGCAATACTGGTTGCTTGAATTGATAAGTAATCTTGTGCTATTTGGCTTAAAATCAGATATTCTTTCATTTAAGTTTTTCACCATAATAATGAATCAATATTGTTTTCAGTTCTGCCTAGCAGATATTTTTCAAATTCATTTGCTATGTTATTATAAGTAATGGTGGTGACAGCAGCAGCAAAGATAGTGGCGATAGAGATGGCAGTAGCAGAGATAACAATAATAGAGATGGCGGCAGCAGAGGTGGTGACGGCAAAGATGGTGGCAGCAGAGGTGATGGTGACAGAGGTGGTGGCGACAACAGAAGAGGTGGCAATAGAGGTAATGATAGCAGAAATGGTAGTGGCAAAGGGAGTGGTGGCAGCAACAGATAAACTTGATAGTGAGTTGGTACAAAGCATTTTAAAGAAGTTTCGTGTGTCTGTTAATTCATCTGTAATTATTGTAGTTAATATAGGTAATATTAAAGTGAGATATTCTGTTAGGCAAATAATTGAGTCTTTAATATTGTTTTTTTGCTTATTTGTTGAAAAAACTGATAATTTTGTTTGCAGATTAAAAACAGCTAAAATTTGAGATGAATTATTTATAAAAGACCAATACTTATCCAATTTTTGATATATAGTATATACCATTAGATACTTGGAGAATTTTTTATTATTCATATAACAAGCAAGATGTGCTTGTATTTCAAGAAAAATGACTTGAATATCATCATATGTTGGATAATTTGATACTAAAAGAAGATAAGTGGCTCTTTCAATTGGTATAAGTAAAATTATAATATTCTTTTATAATAAATAAAGATTAATAATTTAATATATTTGTAAAAAAATATATTTTTTAGAACTTACCTAAATTTTTTAACAATCATTATTACTTGAACATTTTCTTTGTATAATTCGATTATCTGTGGCAAGTATATTTATGGCTGGTTCCATCTTTTGGTATTTATCTAACATATAGTATATAGAGTTTTATTGCATTTTAATGTCTAATTCTGATATTAAATACTTGATATTTTTTATATCACACAAAACTTTCAATTCTGCATTTGTTGTTAAAGAAGCTCTCAAATATAACATTAGTGATCAAACTTTCAAAATCGATTCATCGATGAATTCCATTCCTTAATTAACTGCAAGATTCAAAACATGAGCTACACATCGATAATAAGCAAATGTAAGATTATTAAAATTTAATTTGAGTTCTTCAGCCATATAGTTAGCACATTCAATCATTGATGAGGTATTGTCTATAGTTAATACCAAGGTTTTTTTAGCCAAGTCGAATTCTTGAAGAACATCTATTATTGCAGTTACCATATTGATACCTGTATGGTGAATTGAAAAAGATATAATGTCCAAGAGAAAATTTTTTAACATTCAATTGTTGTCAATAAAGTGAATTGTAAGGCTAAAAAAAGCATCATTATTTGATACAGTTCACATGTCAGATGTTAATAAAACTTTTTCTGAAATTTGAGCAATTGTTTTCTTAATATTCATTCGTTTTTCTTTCAATTATGAAAACTGTATCTTTAATTAAATGTTTGTATCATCTTATGCCACTCTTTATATTCAATAACAGTAAATGGTTGTTGATTACATATAATTCACTTAATTATAGCATTATCTTGTACTTCTTGATCTTTTTTTGTATATAAATCTGTTCGATATTCATGAAATGTTTTTTGTTATTTATGTGGTATATTGATGTGATAACTGAGTAAATAATATCTTAAGGATGTTGTACTGCTTGTTTTTTGAAAAACTGATTAACAAGTATGGTAGACAGAAAGTTCAGGATGTCTTTCTGTATTTTTATCAAAAAAAGGCCAAACTGATAATATAATTTTTTGTTCTTGCTGAGTTCGATTGGAAGATCGTGCTGTTGAATGACTGGATTCAAATGATATAATATTACTTGTTGATTCTTTTGGCAAAATATCTTTATAAATAATATCTTCATTATTATTCAGGTTATCAGTTATAAATTCTTCATCATTATTACTCATTTTCAATTGAAAAATTAAAGAAAAAATCTGACATTTAATCAATCAGGTTGTTTATATATTTTTATTGGATAATCGATAAAATTTTTTTTTATTATTTTATAAACCAGTTTAAACTGGTTTAATTTTTGCAGACTGAAAACTGATAAAACCAGTTTGAAAGACTGGTTTTAAACTAATTTTAATAGACCAAACCTATCCCTATTTACAATACTCTTATTAAAATTATTTGCTTGGATTTTATAATTATAAATATGACAGATAATTAAAAATAGCTTGATTGATTAGTCACAATGGTTTTTTAAGGTTTGAATAATATTTTAACATGATCTGCAAAGCTTGAAGATTACATAATAGATTTTAGCTAAATTTTGAAAATCCATTGTAATCAATTTATCAAGCTATTTTTAATTATAATAACATTTATATAATCAAAAAATTCAAATGAATAATTTTAATTAGAATACTATAAGAGATTTGTATAATATCAAAATCTCTTTTTTGCCACTTTTGAAATTTTATTGATTAAATTTTTAATTTCTTGATTATATACTTTTAGTTTGATAAATAAATCAAAGAAGTACTTAATATAAATTTTTTCTTTAAATTAAACTTCTTAAAATTGTTATTAACAAATTTAGACAAAATAGTTTAATTTTAGAAAGGATCAATATAAGCTGTGATGACTGTATATTAACATCAATAAATTCAATGAATATAATTATTCATATAATATTTACATTATAAAATCATCTTTTAATTATTATAGACCAAAGTAGTATTACAAATTGTTAGTTGAAAAGTTTAGAATTAACCAATTAGAGTATAGAAATTTTAGTTACAACTAGTTAATTATAATTAAAACAACTAATCAATTGGAAAAATTTTAACCAACTAAAATCACTAGACCAAAGTATATGCAATCAAATCATCTTAACTGCTAATGAAAAGACAATGATAGTATCTGTTCATCAATATATTCAAAAAAATATATTTAACCAATAGTCATATCAAGCTACTAATCTTTGCAAAAAAGTTTCCTTGGCAATAAAAGTTAGCAAAGCAATTGTTGCTCATGTTATTGTTAAGTTCAATAAAAATAAAAAGATTATATTATCAAAACAAGGTCATCATCCTCCCAAAGATTTTCAAATAAAATATGTGAATGCAATTCATGACCTTATTTCTTCAGCAAGCAAAAGCAGTCTTCCACTCTTTTTTCAAATAATAGTCCAGAAATTATCTAAATTAGAGTTTTCAATTTCAAAAGCACAACTTGTGGTTTATTTAAAAAAACTTAATTATCATTATGGTAAGAGGGAATGACGAAATATTCTTCATGAGACTCTTCAAAATATTGCATATCAGACACGATATCTTCACTGGTGATTTGAAAATATCCAAGGTGAAAATAACATACCAATTCTTTTAGAGGTTTTTCTTAATGAATCATATTGTCATATATACAACAATTATAATTTGATCTGGATTCTGAAAAATAGTATAGTTTATAAAAAAGGAAAGGACCAAATGCTTGTTATTTTGGAGGTTATTATTATTTTTTGTAATGAAAATAGTAATAAGGTTAAAGATGAGTTTGTTCGCTAATCTCTTCTTATTTGGGATCCTATTGCAAAGCTAGCAACTGGAAAAGAAAAAAAGAAAAAGAATGTGGAAGAATGGAAAACAGTTTCAGATAAGGTAAAAGTAGCTAATATTGTTTCAGATAAGATAAATTATTATGGAAATTTTAATAAAGAAGTATTTGAAAAAATTTTTAAAAAGCTTTGTAAAAATCTTTTCACAGATTATAGACCTTGTATTATTCATATGAATGGAGCAAAATATCACAAACGTTATACTGAAGCTGTACCAATATCTAATTGAAATAAACTAATAATAAAAGAATAGCTAGAAACCTATGATATCGAGTTTGATGCAGACATGACAAAAGCGAAATTATATGAATTGACGAAAAAAAAGAAACAACTTATCCCTTTTGCTATTGTTAATATTGCAGAAAAGTTTGGTCACCAACTGTTTTTTATCCCTCCATACCATTGTGAGTATAGTCCCGAATATTGGAATCACATAAATTCGCATGGACTCGCATACATATAAAAAATATATGTGGGTTATAACTCACCTATTAAATTTACTATAAGAGTTGGAATCAAATGGAATCGAATACAGAATCGTTAGGATCCATAATTGTGAGCTGCAATCAATTGAAATAATATGGGAAGTTGTAAAAAATAAAGTTGCTAAGGAAAAATAGTTGCCAGATGTTCTTTCTCTTTATAACATGTTGCTTTGTTTTTTTCAAGAAGAAATCAAACCAGAAGTAGTTGTTTTGTGCTAAAAAAAATGTTTAAATAAAGCAAGGAACTATTGAAATAGAATTGAAATGGAAATGGAAGATGAAAGTAATAACGATGATGAAGATTTGAACTTACATTCAGGAGATGAAAATTTAGGTGGCAGGAAGTAGTCATATATAATTGTTTAGTAAATTCGATATATATAAAAAATGTTTTTTTATTATATAATCCAACCTTTATATATTAATAGAAAAAAAATGATTGTAGCAATATTTTATACTTATATTAAAAGTTTCATAAGGATTGAAAAAGTTTTTATTAGTTGTTTATATTTAAATATAAGTGAAAAAAAAAATTCATGGTTTTTTTAAAAATAAAAAAAAGCTTAAACCTTTAATATCTAAAGAACTTATTAATAATTTAGATAGAATTATTTATTGAAGTTGTTCTTTATAATTGAAAAAAAACAATATAAAATTTTCTTAAGGAAACATGAAAATTCTTCTCATTAACTTTCAAAATTAGTTAAATGGAAAATTTAGATAAAATTTTTTATACATCCTCTTTTAATTTGTTTAATTAATTTAGAAAGTTAATGAAAAAAATTTTCATACAGTAGTACAAAAATTTAATTTGTTATATTTTTGAATATCTAGTACAATTTTGTTTAATAATATTAGTAAAGTTTAAAATACTGTTTTTTATATTTTGAATTTTAAATATTTTATTAAAAAAATCATATTGTTTTTTTCACTAATCTTCAAATCATAAATCTTATAATAAAAATTTTTTTAAATATCATGAAACTTTAGTATCATATATAAAATAATACTGTAAATGTTTTTAATTATTAGACAAAATACAATTTATATAATAATAAAAAAAGTTTTATACAGAGGGTGCCCATATTATTGTGAACACTTTTATTCTTTAAATAATAAAAAATTTTATTAATAAATAAATTTTAAAAATTTAATGATATATTTATATAATATTAAGGTATAAT